AACTGTTTCCCTGAACTTGAACCGTTTCCCTGTTCTCCAGGTGAGCGCCTGATTGCTGAAACTTTCTGTGTTCCCTGTTTTCCATGTGGGTGCCTGCAATCAAAAAAATAAACGACAAAATTTTTCTGCCCCAGTTTGCACCTGCAAGTAAAAACCTTCTCGCACAGCATTTGTGCTGACAAAATTTGGTCACGGCACTTAAAAATTCAGGCTTCCAAGCTTGATTCGAACGTAGACTTCGTCCCTGTTTCAAACAAAGAAAACTTGTGAGTTTAAACATGGTGGTTGGTTTGTGTCCTTGACTTTGCAAGCGATTGCTCCTTCACTTGCCATGATAACCTTGATTTCAACTTGAAAGACCTTGCCTGTTTGTTGACTAACCACTTTCTCTGTCACCCTTATCGCAGAAAATACCTCTGATCCATTCAAACCCAATACCCTTTATCTGTTACATTGCTCACGAATTGACTTATACCGAACCTTTGTATTTTACATGAATCCAAAACCCGTTGATTGTTGCCAACTCAGTGCGCCTACTGTTCTTTCCTGACTTATGCCACTTTGATGTGCAAGACAGATTCCGCTTTGTGCAATTGGAAAGCTGGTAGCATATTTTGAAGTCATTTCTCACTTGTTTTTACCAAACTGACTCAAAAGAGGACTTGAACAACAAAGGGGGCAGAATAAGGGACAATGGAAAGACATGAGATCTAGCAAGAAAACTACAAAGTAGAAACTTATCAGATGTGGATACCAACTCTAATGACCATGCCACGCATTTTTTGATTAATGGCCTAATCTGTCAAGAAAGTCTCATGTTCAACTCTTGTTGTACCTCATCGCCATGAAACTGGGCTTCAACGCTCTTGACTATCCTATTTGATTCACGATCCTTATTCTACTTGTGGTGCCCGAAGGGTTTTCACCATCAAGCCTCTCTCATTTTGTTCTTTCTCTCATCTCACCATCGTCTTATGGTGCCTGTGAAGGTTTTCACCAATAAGACTCTCTCATTTTATTCTTTTCTTTTTATTCCCTCTGATTCCGCAGATGACAAGGCATTACCCATAGTAGAAACATTACATCTCCTGGCATGTCTAGCTCGGCTCTCTCGAAGATTATCTGGGAGGTCTTTATTGGACCGTAATGTGGATTTTGGACAGGGTTAGAAAGAAAGGATATCATAAAGGCTCAAAACAACTTGAATGGGTTCAAAATTACAACTTTTGGAATCAGATCTTTTACAAAACCGCAACTTGTGCCCCAGTTTCTTTACCTAGGGAACTTTGCATTTTATTTTGATGGGACCGAACCGTGAGGCTGCCTACGTATCCTTAAAAGGAATCAGGTCGAACGTAGTTCATGAGTAAGAACTGCTTTGTTTTTTGTACTTTTCTCTTTTTTTTTCTTTTCTTCTTTTCTCTCTCTTTTTCTCTTTTTTTTCTTCTTTTCTTTTCTTCTATTTTCTTTTCTTTCTTTTGCTTTACTTACTTCTTTTTTTTCAATCTCTTTTCTCTTTTCCTCTTCTCTTTTTCTTCTTTTTTCTTCTTTATTTATCTTCTGTATCTGTGTTTCTGAACTGTGCTATTGATTCCAAAAGAGGGGTATGAAAGAAAACAAATAAGGCTCAGAAGGGGTAACAAAGAATAAAGTGTTTAGATAGCAGAAAGAGGGCCTCCAATCTCTAAGAATACCAAGTATAACACATGCAACCTGAAGATGAAAGATGAAGATCATGCATAGCATTTCGTTTGCAGCATCGGCATTGGTATCACAGATATGCCTTCCACCTTTCTTTAGTGCCTTGTCAAGTACAGAGCTCTTCTTGGGTGATTTCTTCGTCAAAATGGATGTGCTCCGTCAGTTTGGAGCAAACTTCCTTGGCTTTATGTTGTAACTTGAGATGCACTTGAACTGAAAGTTGCTTGCTTCAAGTTGTCTGGGACGCACTTTCTTGTAACAAATTCTTGTCGTACTCTTAACTTCCCAAACCATCCGCCCCAGTTTCACACAATTCGGGCTATAAATGATCTTAAAATGTCCAAATCTGTACTTATTTTCCTCAAATGTCCCATCATCTTCAAACTTGTTTCATTGCTTCATGATTAAACTAACTTTTAAGACCAGGCCTAAAATTATACGTGCATGTCATGTCACTAGAGCCAACATGAAAGGAACTACAAAAGGAGAAGAGAACTAAACAATAAATGACTAGAAATAACAGAAAACAGAAAATTGCATTAGACAGACGGTGAAAGAGTTTGAACAACATAAACTGGGGTTACAACCCTGGAACAAACCTAGATAACACTAAAAGAGTTACTACGACTAAACAAACTACGCAAAATAAAAGGATAAAAGGGTTTGAGTCACAAGACAATATCCGGATTACAACCCTGAGATAACCAGGACAACAGAAATGACAGCAAAATAAACTACCAAGACTCCTTCCCGGCTAGCCACAAAAGGATCATCTTTCCAATCACCAAGCTCAACATCTTAGCCACTGAGTTCCGCATCAACAGTATTAGAACCTTCGCAAGTCTCCATCACATTGACTTTAGCAAATTGCGTTGGGGTCCCTTTTGCCAGCTCGTTCTTAAGATCAACCTCCGGAACTGAGACTAATAGCGATGAAAGCTTTGCAGCACGTGGACTTCTAAGGATCTCAGAAGAATTCTCATATTCCTTTTCAACACAAATCATACCCACCATATGCGTCTCATTATGAACAGGCGATGGACTTTGGCTAGTGTCTACTGCATCTGGATTTTGCACGACAATGTCACCTGCATCAATAAGCTTCTGAACTGCTCTTTTCAGATGCCAACACTTTTCTGTGCTGTGACCGGGGCATTAGAGAAATATGCGCACCTTTGAGAATAATCAAAATTCTTTGGAAGAGGGTTCAACATTTTTATCTGAATCGGTTTCAACATATCCAATTGCCTCAACTTTTGGAACAAACTGGCATATGATTCTCCAATGGGATTGAAAGTCTTTTCCTTTTACTGTTGCCTCTTCATTTTGTATGCTGGCCTCGGTTGGAACCTTTTGCGGGTAGGTGGTTGATACGCTTGAGGGGGCGGGTAAGACATTTGTGGAAGTGGTGCAGGCCATCGCGGGCCCTGGGGATGTGGAACATATGGTGGTGCATTGTAGACGGAGTACTGGAAAGGTGATGTACGACTTTGGGGGTTTTGTGAAAGAAGTAGCATTGGGGAGGATTATCTGGAGCACAGGGATATCCATGGGGTCGATATCGAGGCTGAAAGCGTTGAGCAGGAATGCCCACTGGATCCTGTCGTTAGCGTGGCTCAACAATATCTTTTCTATTTCTCTTTCTTCCACCCAAACTTACTGAGATGTTCTGAAGGTCTTTTGTAGTATCTTTCCATGCAGAATAACTCGTGATTTTGCCTGACTTGATTCCCTCTTCTACCATCTCCCCATTTTTACCACATCATTGAAAGGTTTACCCAAGGCTGGGATCAAATGACTGAAGTAGTGGGCCCCTGGGCTTGTAGGAAAAGCTCAACCATTTCTTCTTCACCAATTGGGGGACTGACTCGAGCAGCTTGTTCCCTCTATCTGAGCCCAAACTCCCTAAAGCTTTCCTTCGGTTTCTTTTCCATATTAGATAGGGAGGAGCGGTCTGGGGTAATGTCTATATTGTATTGAAAGTGTCGAATAAAATCTTGAGCCATGTCATGCCATGTATGCCACTTACTGACATCTTTACGTGTATACCATTCCAAGGCTGCCCCAGTTAGGCTCTCACTGAAATAAGTCATTAGAAGCTCATCTTTCCCGCCAATACTTCTCATTTCACTGCAATAACCCCTCAGATGGGCTACCGAATCTCCACGTCCATCATACAAGTTAAACTTTGGCACTTTAAACCCTTTCAGCTTCCTGGATATCTCCTTTCGCCCTTCCTTTCCTGTGAACTTTTCATTTTCAACACGAGGCTCAAATGGTATGAGTCAAGGACCTTGTGGGTAACCTCTGAGGGGTAATATTGGGCATCATGAGTTTTGAGTGGGTGTTCATTATTGGATCTAAGAAGGGAAGATTGTTAAGAAGTTGTGATCGTGGGGATAGTGGATGTGACTAGTGGGCAATTTTTGGGAAAGGTAGTTGGAGGACGAGTGATGGAGCTGCTAGGGTGGTTGGGAAAGCTGTGACAAGCGGGAGAATCTGGAGAGTGTGGGGGATCATCTGGCACTATGACCGGAGTATGGGTAAGGAAGCTAGGTGGTGGCGGGGGTGGTGCCTTCCCAGTCATCCAAGCCTGATACATGTCCGTCATGTGTTGTCTTAACATCCTTACCTCATCAACCAACCCAGTGTCCTGTTCAACCAATTGCTTTCGGGCACCGGTATCAACCAACTCAATTCTGTTGTTGTTTGCCATTGCCTTTTGACTTTATGTTGTAGAGAGGAGTTACCACTTTAAGAACCACAAACCAACCACCCTTCTCCTATGAAGATAACAAAAATGAAGTCATCACGTTAGCGTTAGGGCATTTAACATAAGATAATCTCACATTACGTGCAATGCACCTAGTCACAGTTATTGGTTCTAAAATGACTTCGAGGGTATGAAGGTCATACGGCATCATCCCAATTTCACTCTTTTTGCTCCATTTCCTTCTTCATTTTCCTTTCTAGCACCGCTTGATTTTTTATTTCCTTTCTCCTCTTTTGTTTTTGCTTATCGCTCTTTTCTTTCCTCTCATTTCTCACGTCCCATAATTTCACCTCCTTTTTTTTCTTCTTTTTCCCTTTTTCTTTTAATACAATAAAAAATGATTCGATCAAACCCTATGTAGGTTGCCTACATATCATGACGTCGCATGAATCAGACCAAGCTTAGTTCTGGAAATTCGAGAATAGACTAAACAAACTAACGTACTCTTTTTTTTTTTACCTTAGTGACTACTCTGGCCAGAAAAGGGAAATGAAAGAAGCAAATCTCTTTTCTTTTTGGATTTTCTAAACTTAATGTTCGATAACCTATTCTAAACTCAAGCTTAACGAGCATATATTTTTTTCTTTCTTTTTGAAACAAATACTCTATGGGAAATTATTAAGGAAAAAAACCCTAGAAGAGAAAAATATTTTTTGATTCTTCTTTTTTTTTTTAGGAAGGAAATCTAAAAAATGAACCAAAGAAAAATATTTTGAATTTTCACTTGACATCCTGAAGAAAGATTTCGAAACAAGCAATGAAAAAGTTTAAAAAAAAATATTTTTGGATTTCAGTTTTTGATTACCTAAGGGAGAAACTCTAAAGATAAACAAAAGATAAAATATTTTTTTTCTTTATATAATGTCCTAAAGTTCTAGTGAAAATGAAAAGAATATTTTTTTCTGTTTTTTATTAATTTCTCAAAGAAGAACCTCAAAAGAAAATATTTTTGGATTTTTGGAATTGATATCTTAAAGAAAACTTCTAAAGAGGTATCAAAAGAAAATTCTTTTTTTTTTTGAATTTTTAGTCTTAATATACTAAAGGAAATATAAAAGTAATTTTTTTATTTTGAGTTCTAGATATTAATTTCCTAAAGGAAAACTACCTCAAAAGAATTTTTTTATTTTTTTTATTTTCTAGAATTAGTATTCTAAAGAAAACTTCTAACGAAAATATAAAAACGCAAAATCTTTTTTTTTTTTTGATTTATAACACATGTTTTTCAAATACAAGATAGGAAATACAATTACAAAAGACTCGAAAACTTAACTAGACTATGAAAGACTCTAATTAATGTACAAAAATAGAAGGTAAAAGACGGGCATAAAAAGAAAAACAGACTCAAAACATTGAAATAAAAATTAAAAAAATCTCTTTAAGCAAACTCCTGAATGAGCGATCATGACTGGATGGTCCCGGGGTGTCTATCATGCTCAAACTCCGGTAAGTAGATCCACACCTGTATGAAAAAAATTAAGACCAAATAGAGTTAAAGACCTAGAACACTATGTGAGACAATAATACTTCCTGTTAGACACATGCATGACATGATTGTGACTATTTTTCTAAAATTAACCTATGTGGCTAACAGTGGCTAAAAATGCAAGATTTGGCTAAGACCCCGCGAAGCCAAGAACCTAAACTCACTAGGAAGACCGGACCCTATGTGTGTTGCCTACGTATCACGCCCTGAAAGACGAGAATCAGGTATGCGTAGTTCGGGCAAATTGGATACGGGCGAGAATTAAAAAAAATAACTAATTTAGAGAAAACACTTTTTTTTTTTTGAAAAAAAAATAATGGGAAGGTTCAAAATCTTTTTTGGATTTTTCAATTTTATTTTTTTTGTCTTTTTCTTTTAAAAAAAACATAACTAGCCCTACTTGCTTTTTTTTTTTTACACTTCACCCTCTTTTCTTTCTCATTTACCCTCAATCATCATTGGTCCGCCAAATGACCCTTTTTACCCTTGAAGATTGCAACATGTAGCACATAGGATGCATCAAGATGGTCTTTTATTTTTGTGTACACCTGTCCTAGACGAACCCAACCCCTGTGTTGAGTCCCCTAAGTCAAATGCACGTGATGCAACAAACGTTCCTACTAGGGATCCGGCATGAGGTTATGTTATTCTAAGTTTAAACCTGGGGTAGTGTTTTAGACTGGGCTTACCCGAGCGGACAACTCAAGCCGAGTTGGGGGCAACGTACCGGGAGCACGAAAGTCTGCCCGGCCTTGTTGCTGACCCATGCCTCGTTCTAACAGGTATGACTTCTAACAGAAAGTGGGCCACGCGTACGTGTGCACCAATTTTTAGAAGACTCAGAAGGGTGGCGTAAGAAAGCATTTTAATAACATTCAGGCAATATTAAAGCAAATAGCATATTGGGTTCACAAAATACAATAATATTAACAATAAATAAAGCCAAGCAAAATCATATTAACAAGCTCGAATTCTTGAACCCCGAACCAGAAGTTCTGGGTTCTTATCCCCAGCAGAGTCGCCAGAGCTGTCATACCTCCTTTTTCTACCCCGAAAGGATAATATAAGGAGTTTTTCCAATTTAAGTGACAATCGAAACAGGATTATTATTTAAGATCAGAGTCGCCACTTAGGATAATTTATGGTGTCCTAAGTCACCGGTTTAGAATCCCGAATCGAGGAGATTTGACTCTGTTTTAATGTATGCGAAACACAGAAATTCGGGTAAGGAATTCTGTTAACCCGAGAGTAGGTGTTAGGCATTCTCGGGTTCCGTGGTTCTAGCACGGTCGCTTTAATCATACTTGGCTTAATCAAATTGTTTAATTACTCATTTTACAACCTATGTGCATTTGCCCTTTTTTAATTAAGAAATTATCTTAAAACAGGTCACGCGTACGTGTACCCATTTGTTTGGCGCGTCGAAAATCGTGTCACGCGAACGTGTCCACAATTAGTAACGCTTTATTAATATTAAGAAAAGTTTGGTCAAAAGTCGAACGCATACCGCGATTTTATTTTAGAATCGTAATTATGTCACGCGAACGTGTCCACAATCACAACGATATACTAAACGTGCCTAAAGCAAGCTACGAATGTTCATTTTAGAAACCGTAATCATGTCACGCGAACGTGTACATAATCACGATAATAAATTCAAAATGCGCCTAAAAGGTTCGCCTACCCTGGTGTTGATGGCCTAGCATGCTCCTAACAGATTAATTAAATAAAGCGAAATAAAGGACTCAAACCATATTAATATTACGTATTTGCTATGATCACTTTTTCTTAAAAAATCCAAATCCCTTTTCTAAAAACCCCACAACCCCACTGCCCAGCCATTCTCATCCTCTTAACAAAACAATCACCAAGAAAACAAAGTCATTAATCACACCAAAGTGCTGAATAAAATATATTTGGTTGAGCATAACATTTTTAGTAACAGACATTAATAATTAAGAAGAACACTCAACCATTGCTCGGCAAAGCAATATCAACCAGAAAAAAGCATGCATAAAGCTTTAAAAAAAAGTAGATAAATAGAGCAGAGATAAGAATGAACCTCAAATACAAAACTGTTGCCTTCAAAATTATTAACAAAAGTTGAACAATGAATATTAAGCAAATCTGGAAACGATGAAAGACCATCAACCCGACCTT